ACCCCAACCAACTTGGCGGCACATCAGTGTCAGCCTTGGTAGGATAAATCTCCCCAGATCTATCCAATGGCTGTGAAGATTCTAAACTAACACAAGTCTCATATGTGTTCAGTTCAAGGGTATTATACAGAAATACACCACAATAACATAAATCAAATATGTACTTTATTCATTTACAATAAATGTCATAATGTACATCATGCCGATTAGAGCTAAGGGCATACACTGTCTAACAACTCCCACTTGCACTTAGGTCTAATCGGGTGCAAGCCGGAGTCTCATACTTTCCATGTGTTTCTCAAACACTTTCTGTGTTAGTGACTTAGTCAATGGGTTTGCTACATTTTCCACTAATGCTACCTTCTTAATTAGGATGTCCCCTCTTCCAACTATCTCCCGTAGTACATTCGATGTGCTTTGACTTTGAGTGGGCTCGTGGCTCCTTAACCTGACCAATGGCTCCAGTGTTGTCACACAACAGAGGAATGAGTGATGTGCTAGATGGAACTATTCCTAATTCCTTAATGAACTTCTTCATCCATACGGCTTCCTTGGCAGCCTCACTTACGGCAATGTACTCGGCCTCGGTTATGGAATCTGTTGTGGACCCTTGTTTGCTACTTTTCCAGCTAACTACACAGGACCCCATCGTAAAGATGTATCCAGATGTAGACTTTCAATCATCTGGGTCTGACTGGAAATCGGCATCAGTATACCCAAGGATCTATAATGAACTACCATCGAATACCAGACAAAACTCTTTTGTCCTTTGAAGGTATTTCAGTATGTTTTTCACAGCGGTCCAAAGCTCATGTCTTGGGTGAGATTAGTATCTACTTACCACACTCACCGCATGAGCAATGTCTGGCTGAGTGCACAACATAGCATACATGATGCTCCCTATGGCAGAGGCATTGGGAACTTCCTTCATGCCCTTAATCTCCTCAGGTGTCTTGGAAGACATTCCCTTGGAGAGAGTGACTCCATGCCTGAAAGGAACGTTTCCTTTCTTGGAGTTCTCCATACTGTATCTCTTGACTATTTTTTCAATGTAAGTAGACTGGGATAATCCTATTATCCTCTTCGATCTATGTTTATAAAGTCGATGTCCCAAGATATAAGAGGTTTCTCCAAGATCTTTTATGGAGAATTGCTATGAAAGCCATACTTTCACCATAGTCAACATTCCTACATCATTCCCAATGAGTAGAATGTCGTCTACATACAAAACCAATGATAGCTATAAATATAACCCTAGCAAGTGCACTAGTTATCAAGTAGTATAAAAATATCGTTTCCACGAAGATTTAACAAAATAAGTATTAGAACTACAGCCTTCCCTATTATTTGGACAATCGAATTTCAGATTTGAGAATAAGAATTAATGAAAAGCAGTAAAGAAGGAAAACAAGAGCAGAAGTAACAATGCTGAAGTATGTAACGATTGGTTGAATTCGCTAGGGCTCTCGGTCCACCTAACCATTCAAATGAATATTAATGGATGATATTATCCAAGATAATTTGTCATTCCCATAAGCTGAAGTCTTTCCAATTTTATTTAATATTCTCTCTTGAGATATACTAAAACTACTTCTATCAGGTAACCCCTCGATCTCTCGACTAGAGTTCTCAAGATAGAAGCACATTAAGTCCAAGGAAAAACTATTATATTCAGATGAATCATGTGTATATACCCCTATATACCATTCAATTCACACCATGAATTATGTGGTCAGCTATGTGAATTCCACTATTGATTCATTCACATGCGCCTGATCAATTAAGAG